TGAATCCTATAGATTAAAGTTGCGATAATAGATCTCTCTTTCATGTCTAACCCATGAAAGCGAATATTAAGAAACAGAGAGTCAAGAATATTTACATCTAAAAGACTCACTGTCTTATTGGAGAAACTGTTGAAATAAATCAGTCCTTGGCCAAGATTGGTTTCAACTGTTCCTATGAGGGAATCATCAAATCGATTGTATCTAGCATCAGTAAGATACATTAAGACAGCAGCATCTATGTCAGTCTCTATTAAAGATTTAATAGCTACTTGAACACATCCTATGTGGATGTATTTGTATTTTCTTTTTTATTCATTTACAGAGTGTTTGGACAAAAGATAGAATTCTTCTCCTATGTTTTGTCCTAAAGGAGTATTATTTTCAATAATCTTGATAATATAATTAGAACTGTTTCTTTTAGGTTGGTCTTCAAATACATATAATGCATCCTAAGGGATTTCTGGAATAGTTCAGTCATTCAAATCAATAACTGTCCACTTTGAATCAAAAGAAATCAATATATATGTATATATATATATATATATATATATATATATATATATATATCCCTTTTTTGGTGCATATTTGAAGTGATTTGAACCACTTTAACTATTTGAGTATTGGATAGGTCTTTATTCAACTATTTCAGCATAACACATTTTGATATTGTTTAATATTTGAGTTATAACTTGGACTATAGATCTCATTTTAATGTGATTCTTGTTTTGTTAGAAATCTAAGAGATGAACCTACAACTCTCATGAAGAAATTAGAAGCTGAATTTTAACGTTCAGAGTCAGAATTGGGCCTAAACTGGAAAAGAAAGGAGGTAAACACAGATCCTGACTAGCGTGCAGTGTTTAGGCCCTATCTTAGTCCATAATTATTCGATCGGACTCATTTTAGTGGTATTTAAAAACTAACATTTAGGGATTTAATTTATATTTAGACTATGAAGCCAAATGAATGCAAATTGTGAGCCGAAATAAATGAGTAATTTACAAATTTATTTTAGGAGATTAAGTAGTTATTATTCAGGATATCTCTTTTTTAAAGCATGATGTCCTTTCAAATTTCAAATTTGTGGTAACATGATTTTCTAGAGTTATATTATCATTAGGATTAGGAATTTTAAGATTTTGATTAGTTTCGATTTTGAAATTTTGAACCTATTAAAAGAAAAGAGGAAGAAGGGAGAAACAGACACATATATACATATTTAGTTTTCTTTTCTTTTGCATCTTCTTTCACATTTTTTAAATTTTAGATTTTCATGTTATTCCATCTATGGAAGAGTAATTTTCATTGTCTAATTTAAGGATAAGGAAACACAACATTCTTGAGAATTGGTTTGCAACGTATTCTCAATTTGAGTTTTCTCCTCTTCTCTCTAATCTATTTAATTTCATGAATTGAAGGTATTTGTTTTAATTCTATTTGAGAAGTGATTGATTTAATATTATTTGGTTGAATTGTATTTGTTAATTTTAGAAAATTAGGTTTAATTAAGTAATTAAAAACATTAATAGGTTTTGATTGAATTCTCAAGGTTTCTAAATTTTAATTGATTTAGTGTTAATCAAATGCATAGATATTTTTATGTAAATACTTAGTTTTGATTGAGGTTTTGTTTGATTTTAAATTTTAACTACCAAATTAAAATATTATTAATTTTGAATTCTATAATTAAATATTGTTATTTTTCTCTTAGTTATTGAATGAAGTGTTTAAAATTTATTTATCAATACCTCTGTTTTAGATTTTATTCTATTATTAATCTTATTAAATTTTCACGTCTTAAACTCTAATTTAATAAATTACATTGATAATCTTGTCAGACAACTCTCATACTATAGTAATTAAATTTTTATTATTTTAATTTAGAGTTTAGGGTTTAAGGTTTATTCGCGTACAACCATATATTTAGAATCTTTGGTGCTGCTCCTTACAACTAAAAGTTGACACAAGATATAATTGCAACAGTTCGAGCATATTCGAGTGCCCTATCGCCAGCATCGCGATGCTCTTCTCTCCAAACTAAAGCAACTCTGTATCAATATATCTATCATAAATTTTTGAAAGAGAAACAAATGGCAATAATTATAAATATTTTATATGTTTTTACTATTTTATTATTTTCAAATGAAAGAAATAAATTGTAAGTAGTATTTTTTTTAATATATAAATGTTATAATTATTGTTATAAGTACTATTGTTATTTTTTATTATAGTTTTTTTAGCATATGGAGAATCTATTATCATTATTATTATTATTATTATTTAAATTTTTTTAACAAATGTCTTAAAAGTATTGGTTAAAAATTTTACAATATGAATTATTTATTAAAAATAAAAACATACAATAATATTTTCAATACAATTTTTTTTTATCTTATTATCATTTATCTTATCATTTAACTGAATCATAATTCACTGCCCCCATTATTAATAAGACAAGATAATTCCGAATGACCTAATTCTTTTGTTTGTAGCCTTATTTTTTTAGTTTTATTAACGTGTGTATGTCAGTACTTAATAAAATTTACATAATATTATTAAATTTAATATATTAATAACATTAAATACTATAATTTTAAATTAAATTTTTTTTTTTTATTTTGATCACATATTTTTTATAAGAAAAAATAAAATAAATTACAGAATATATAAATTATCTAAAACTAAAAATTTTAGAAATAGTATATTTATTTTTTCTTTCTGATCACACAATTAAATAAACACATTTAATTTTCCCTTCCGTTGTCATTAATCAGTGTAGTGCACGATACGTGGAAAGCATTCGAAGTCCAACTAAAAATCCTAACCCGAACTTGCAGCGAAAATGTAACTTGTCACATAACCCCCCAAACGGAGTCACCTTGTAAAGTGTCATGTCCGTTCAAATTCCAAATTAACCCTATGGCTCCGTCATATGAATGGTCCGAATTTTTGGCACTTGCACAATTTATTAGATTGAAAATGATAGATTCTCTGTAGGGGCATGTTAGTCATCCAACTTGAAAATATTTTACTGGGATATGTGTGCTTATCTGGGACATATCGTTTTAACACCATATGCATAACATGTTAAATATCCTTTTACTGATTAATTAATAATGGGCCAAAATATTTTATTTTAAGACATACTAATTCATATGCTATTTAAAATATAAATAATTTTTAACATTAAATTATAAAAAATATTATCCTCTTGGAATTGAAGACAAATAACATAAGTAAAAAGATGATATAAAAGTGTAAACATTGCTGTATTTGTTAATTAAAATCCAGTTATTTAAATTTAACCTTAAAAGTTGTGAATATAAAAAATCTCAAATTATATATCTTGAAAATTATAAATTATCTAAAATTTGGTGTGTGTGATGTGCTTTGAATCTAATTTTTTTTAGTCACATAGGAAATGATTGCAATCTCAAACGTTTAGCTAATAAGGATTCAAATCATATAAAATCTATGACAAATGTCCTATAAGCACGGGTTAAGAAAGAAAAATAAAAATATTTTATCAAAAACATAATAAATATAATTTTTAATATAGTGTAACATAATTTGAAGTTATTATTTTAAATTTCTTAATCAGCGTCCTCTACGAGAGCTGATTGGGAGAGAATTTTATTTACCTATTACTCTTGAGACTATGGAGCGATTAGTTTCACAGTTACGTGTGGAGATAAACGGAGACCAATGAGGAATTCTAGAGAGACGTAACTCATATTTACTACGCCATTACATACATACGGGAAGGAAAGATGAAAATCTAAAAGCAAAACAAAAGTTTCTGTTTATGGTGCTAATTTGCACCTGGAAAGATGCATTGTTTAGCTAAAACATCGACGTCGAGTATTTGCTTTGGGCAAAAAACCATTCCTGCTTAGCTGGTCCTTTTTCCTTCTTCACAATATCTCTCTCTCATGCACTCCTTGTAAAGATAGACAAAGAAAGAAAGGGCTATAAATAGGAGAGATGGAAGTGGAACTAAGTCTATAGTGCAGTTTCATTTCTTTGGGATTACAAATTTTTCCGAAAGCTGAACTAGCCGGAGTGAGAGAGGCTAGCCAGGTCTGTATTTTTTTTTTTTAATATTCTCATGTTCTTCATATAACCCCTCCATCTCATGAAAGGAAAAACTCTTAAGCTCATTTTCCTATATTTCTTTTTTTTTTTTTTTGGCCTAGCTCTAAGATCTTTTTCTATTTCTCTTTCTAACTCGTTTCTCGATCTCAATGAGTTGTTTTTCCTTGGAAAGTCTTGTGGTTTCTCTCTTCTCTCTTTTTTTGTTTTAGCTAAATACCGTTTATTCCTTTTATTAATTCTTGTTTCCTTTACTTTCCAAAATATTTTGTGCCAAAAATTTGGAAAGAAAATGAAATAGAATTGAATTTATTTAAAGGGTTAGACTCTGATCATTCTTCTTGTGCTTAGACTTGCATATTTTGGTGTTAAAACAAAAGGGTCTTTGGTTTTTCTTTGGAGTTGAGACGATACACTTTACAAGGGTTTCTGGCCCTAGAGAGTGTGGGTTGATTTTGTTGTTTTTCATATACGGGGCAAAGAGAAGAGAGAGAGAGAGGGCGTCAAAAGCACTGACAAAATACATACAAACAAAACGAAGAGTGATAAAAAAAAAAGTAATATATATATAATATATCCTACGCCTTCATAAAAGAGGCCTGTGCACCACCTCCAAATCTTGTTTATTATCTTAGATCTTGTTGTCAATTTTTATCTGAAACGTAAAGAATATGTGCCATTATACCCTATTTAGTTACATGGCTTTCAAGTATGCACACAACCTTCTCATATCATATAGTCATCTTTCATGAAGTTAATTAATTCCTTTGAACTTTCATATATCCGACTAAGATCGAGGATCGATTCCACTAGATCTAGTTGTGTAGGATCTCTTTGTTCTGGTTTGTTTTCTATTCTCTCTTATAATTTCTAATTTTTTATTTGTTAATTTATTTGAGAAGAAGTTAAAAATGGGGAGGGGAAAGATTGAAATCAAAAGGATTGAGAACACAACAAATCGCCAAGTGACCTTCTGCAAGAGAAGAAATGGGCTTCTGAAGAAAGCATATGAGCTATCTGTGCTGTGTGATGCAGAAGTTGCCCTCATTGTCTTCTCCAGCCGTGGCCGACTCTATGAGTATTCAAACAACAAGTAAGCTGTTACCTTCTTTGCATGACTGCACTAAGTTATTACCCAAAGAATTTTCTTTTGAGTTCAATCAATAACTGGAACCACAGAAACTCGTCATCTGTTATTATTAAAATGGTTAATTAATGATATCATTAATACAACAAATTGCCATTAATTGTGCCTCAGTCTGCGTAGATCTATGAAATTAAAATGTGTTCCAGTGAACTAGGACACCACTCGTATATAACGTTGAAAAAAAGAAAAACTAAGTTAGTGTTCTATCTTTGGTTTATCCTAACCAAAGATATAATGCGAAGCAATAATTTAATTAGCTCGCAGAGGAACTTAGGGTTTATCCTAACCAGTGGTTAAGGTTTAAATGTGCTTAGCATTATTGAACATTATCATTCTTAATAACTTAAAAGAAAAACATTAAATATGTTTTTTCCGTTTTTAAAATTGTAAACGCTTTTATATTTTGGTATTCTTATTTTTTGTTTGAATTTTTTAACTAATGCATTAAAAGAACTCGTTACTAATCAATTTCATCAACTTAAACTCAACTTATCCTTTAGTATTATAACTGGAGCTTCTAAATTAGGTAATCTTATTCCACTTGCGATGAGGTTCATTTTGAGCCAAAATTTCTTGCAAACCCTAATTTTGTTTTACCGAACCAAATTATTTATTAACCAGTGAAATTCACTAGTTACCGTAAATTTGGTTAATTAATGAGGTTATAACTAATCAAAACCAGCATTAAGCAATGTTGTTGAAATGGGACTTTATTAAAATAAGGTCTTGAATATTTTTTATTGGTGTATTATCCATATTAACAGCATTAAGCAATGTTGTTGCAAGAGGACTTCATAGCATCTAGCTATGTAGTTAAAGTATCCTCTACACTTTTTTATTTATCAACTGTTATATTTTTATACTGATTTTTTTATCTCTCTTCTCTTCACTTATCTGACACTCATTTTAATGGATGTCAAGGGCTCTTATTTCTTTCTTAATGTAATTGGCTTGTAATGAAAAAAAAGGTCAATTGTTAGAGTACTTTCGATTCGTATTAGGGAAAACTATTGAATTGCCGCTTTGGCATGCAAAGCCTCCGTTCAAATCATTCGCTCAAGTAGTATTGGCATATGGTTAACACAATACGTATTTAGATGGGCTCATTTTGCATTTAGAAAAGTGTACGATCAAAAACTCATTAAGAGAATTTTAAAAATAATTAATTTAATTTCCTAAATTTATTGAAACAAAACATGCTAGTTTAAATAGACAAATATCATATTAAAAGCTTTCATTAACCAGCTTACAAGATAGCCCACCACAAATAGTATAGTATTCTTGAAACGTTTGAAAATAAAAAAATAAAATAAAAATATATTTTTAAAAAGTAGCGATCATGGTAGTCATGACTTAATGATAAGGTTTGACCTGCAACTTCAGTCCTTGTAACCAAAAGCTTGCTCAGATCTTGTAACGAGAACGCGTAGCAGTGCAGTTATACTCTGTGTTCTATTTTCTTCACATCGTCGTGCATGAACTATATCAAAACTTGTCTTTTCTGCTTCCACTTTCGGCTACTCACCCTTCTCTGTTTGTGTTTAAGTGACAGTGAGTGATGGTTTCAGTTGCATCCTTAGAAGGGTTTGGTTCTCTTTAAAAGCTTTTATCTTTTTCCCTTTACACGATTTTGCATGAAATCGGTGAAACACTCGAGTTTGTAGGATTTCCAATCACCTTCTTTAAAACATATACTACACAGAGTACGGTGTCGGTCAACATTTAATTCTAGATCACGTATTTCAAAGGACTATACTATTCTATACTACGATATTATATATATATATATATATATATATATATATATATATATATATATGTATGTATATATATGTATATATATATACGGAGCAAAATTTTCAACTTAGACTTCACTCTGTACTAGTAGTTGGTCCCGATAATCTAACTAGAACACCATAAGTATCTGTATCCGATAAATTAGAGCGATTGTTTTTCTTTATCTCCCCTTCTTTTCTAATAGCGAAAGTATTAACTTGAATTTACGGGTTGCCCCTAAGATATCTTATTTATCTCCCCTAATATATCATACTTATTTATTTTTAAAGATAGTTTTAACTTCATGATCATGCCTGTGATCATTTAGAAGTACCTGGCTAACAAAACTGTAAGAGGCACTGACATTGTATCAATGCGTCAGATCCAATAAGTTGCACCCAATGGGAACGTTGACGACCTCTGTTTTCATGTCACAATGACTCTTCTATTTCTTTCCCTTTAAGTGATAAGGCATATGAGAATCTGTGCATAGAGAGGGAGAAAAAGTGAACAGAGGGAGAAAAGTCTCATTTCTTATTCAAAGTTCTCTGAAATCCAGTTTGCTTGCTCAAATTTCTTTGACTTCTTCAGTGAAAAGAAAGCACTTTTCTCTTCTCCTTTATTCAAACTCTATGTCCTTTCATTTCTACCTTTTAGTCTAAGTCTCATCAGGTTAAGTTCTAAAGGAAGAAAAGTTAGGTTCATCATGTGCTGAAGATTGTACCTTTATCCCAAAGAAGTTCCTTCTCAGCTATTGATCCACTTCTAAAAAATAAGGGTTCCACGGATAATCTTTGCATATAGTTTTTGCTTACATTCATATATTTCTGTTGAAAGATATCGTAATTAAACTTACTAAGTCATACCAGTTATAATCACAACTTAAGGTCGCCCTGGTTATAACTAGTAAATAAAAATTGTCAAGAAAACATACTACTTCTTATACATAGATCTTCGCGAAAGATTTGCATGCACGATTATGTGATAATATTTAGTTTTTATATATTTTCATCGGTTTGGCTATTTGTCCTTTCAAGATGTAAATTTTATACTTATAAGCGTATGGATGGTTTCTTGAAACAAATTAGCTCAATTATTTATCACTATTTGTCACTTCTTATCAAATTTAATACTTACTCGCGCGCGCGTTTGTGTCAGTGTGTCATTTTATACTGTGAATATTGCTGTATAAATTAACCTTTTTTTAGTGTTTCTGTCAAGTGGTATGTAGGCATATTAGCTTGCACAAAACTATCTCTTTATGTGATACGTTATTTGAATGGAAGATAAAAACCACTTTAGAGTACATAATTATTAAAAAAAAATGATATTGATTATTCGCATGTTGGTTTAAATCGTTAAAACAGATAGCGTCTTTACATATATTCAAATATTTCTTTCAATGAAAGAGGAAAAAATGTTTCATCTCATTAGATAATAAACAATTAAAATATAGTAATAAATAATTAAGTTTCTTCTTATTAGATAAAATACATGAATCAAATACCGCTATAATATTTATCTTACGTTATATTTTTAAATAATAACATGTATGTTTTTCTTAACTATTCTATTCATACTTTCTTAAAATACCTTTTATTTTTAACCATTAAATTATCCTCTATTCTAGTTATTTTTTATTGGATCTCTTATAAGTTTTTTTTATACGTACTTCAATCACCTAAACTGAACGTCTAGTATCTTTTTCATAAAAATTGTTAGATTGTCATAACTAAATGATGAAACAAACGTAATTAATTAGTTGCTAACCCTAATATATCTTTTCCATCAAAGTTTTATCTTTTCACCTAAAATGAACTTACATAATATTTGGTTAGAACAAAAATAGACGAGAAGAGGGAACCAAAAAGAGCTTTATAGAGATGGAGAAGAGAGGAAAGAAAAGAGAAAGGAGTTAAAATACACTTAAGCTCTTAAGTTTAGCTTAGGATTTGGGAAGAAAGAAAAATTTAAATTAATTCAATAAAATTATTTTCATTTAATAATTTTATTTGACCATCTTGGTAGTAGTAAATTTGTTTATTTTTCTTCTTCTTTCTCTCTTTTTTTCCTTTGTTAACAATAAAAGGTATCTGCCTCCTCTAATAAATGTTTTTCCCTTTATTTTCCTCTATTAAAATCTATCCTCATTCTTTTGAATCAGTGTATTATGGATAAAATTAGATTTATTTTTATCTTAATTTTTTCTCTATTGATAAGTTTGTCCAAATTAAGTCTTAATATGAAATAAAGTTTGAAGTATAAAGTGAGTAATGGTTCTTAAAATTAGATTTTTTTTTTCTTTGCTATGACATGATTTTCTTTAGATATCCTATAGTTATTAGAAATACGGTCACTTCTAAGACTTAAGCAATCTTTTTTACTCTCAATTTTTGAGTGACTCAAACTCGATCATTTTTACTATGGTATTATAACTTTTCAATCTTAATGTCGGGATAACTCTCTTCCTAAAACTAATTTTTTTAGTGTGAATTAGATTCAATTTATTTTAAATAATTTTTGCTATGATTATTTATGATTAAAGGAAATTTGTAGGTCAAAATAATAGTGTGAATATTATTAGGAAAACTAATGATTTAGTCCTCTAAATTAATTTTAGATTCCGATTCATCTTCTAACAATTTTTTGTTGTTTAACTTAGGCCTTTTTTGTTTCAGGTGTTGAAAACAGTAATTTTAGAATATATAAACTGATAATTTTAGAGATTTTATAAAAATTAAATGTTACTTTTGGTTTGATTACAATAATAAAAAAGACAAAACATAACTGCTATCTTTTATATGTTGAAATTAAGTTTTTCATCAATGTTGAAATCTCGCTAGAAATTAATTTTTTCATCAATGTTGAAATTGATTAAATAATTTTTCTAAATATTGTATTACGATTAACATATAAAAGTTATTTTAGTAGTTAAATGAGATATTGAACATTGTTTTTATCACACTAATTTTTAAACGACCAATTCTTTCATTTTGTCATTTTATTGATTATTAAAATTGATTAAAAATTTCTTTTAAATGATGAATTGTGATCAAGATATTATATTTTTGTGATTTCATTTACTTAAATAAAATATCAAATTATTTCATTGTCAAATGGTCGATGAACTTTTTGACAATGATTGATCAGATTTTTTTAGACTTTTACTCATTATTAACATATAATATTTATTCTTAAGTTTTGTTACATTTGTAACTTATATCATGAGAATTAGACTGGTCAAGATGATCTAGTTCAAAAATGCAGTGGAATTTTCCGTAAAATTTAATAGTATTGTGACGAAAGACTAAGTTGGAAAAAAATATGTTAAAGAAATTAATTGAAACAAACAAAATTAAAAGATGATTTTAAAATAAAATTAAAAGTAGAAGACCAAATCACTATTTTTTTTATATTATTACAGCATAAAAATATAGGTCTTTTGTTCATCAAAGAGTATCTTGAAGAAAATTACAGAAATTTTGGATGGTTTTATGGTTTGGAAAAGCAGGTTCGTTTATTTTTGCGAAAACGATATTATTTAAAAAAAACAAAAAGGCTTGACTTGCTGCATATAAAATTAGGTCTTAGTCTCAGGTTTACTCTAGGGTACTAATTGGCGTATGTTGTCTTTTTGAGACGGCTGCTGTATTTTTTATTTATATTAATTAAAGTACTGAGTATAATGGATATCTTTAGTTTGTTTGAACATTCTGTAATAGTTTTGGGGTTTTACTTTTATATCCTACTACACCTATTAGTGAGAGGGTTGTTCTCACGCATGTATTGGTTTACTAATAAATTTTTGCTTTCGAGAGAAAAAAGAAAAAAACTGTTAACAGGTTCTGTATAAACCTTAAGAGTAATTGCATTTTGTAACCCCTAACTTAAGTAGAGGGAAATGATTTTTGCACCAGATAACAAGAGAGTCCACATTGAGAGATATTCTTATTTTATTATTGAGAAAAAAGTTGTATGAAATTAGAATAGCGGAAGTGAATGTATAAATAACAATTTGCATACTAGATAATGTCTTGGGCAAATGAACTTCTCCATGCAAATATATTGGTTCCCTTCTCCTTTTTTGACCTTCATGATTACAGCATAAGGTCAACTATTGAGAGGTACAAAAAGGCATGTTCCGATCATTCAAGTACGAGCACTACTACCGAAATTAACGCTCAGGTAATTGCAAGCATTACTCGTCTGATATTCCTTTTTTCTAGATTTACTTTTTGATTTTTGGTTATTCAATTTATCAACGTACGTACTATGTTGAAGAATTTTAATTAGTCTGTCTAGTGGCAAAAGTTCATTGTGCTTCACGAGATCTTCGGTTCAGGATTTTTTTTCTTTTTTGTTTCTTAACAGAGAAAATTGTCCTAATTAAGAGAAATAATTATTGTTCTGAGACAAAGTAATTGAGAAACCTATACGATTGTAATGAGCTGAAATGGTTACAAGACATTAACTTGGACCTTGTTAGTTTAACGGTTCAGTTTTAAGCTTTGGGTGGTGCACAATTCGTTAATCTATTGCCTAATTATCGTACATTTTTTATTCTGTATATTGTCAAACTGAAAAGCAGTATTATCAACAAGAATCTGCAAAGCTGCGACAGCAAATACAGATGCTGCAAAATTCTAACAGGTATCTTTTTATCATATGTTTCCTTCTAATTAATTAAGCTTGTTACCAAAATAATGTATAAACATTGTGAACTTAATTGCAGAAATAACATAATCACATAATGCTTATTTTACCTTTTAAATATACCATGAAGCCTAGTTAAATGCAGCTTAATATAATTTATTTACCTCTTATGCCTTTTGTAGGCACTTGATGGGTGATGCCTTAAGCACACTGACAGTGAAGGAACTTAAACAGTTGGAGAATAGACTTGAAAGAGGAATCACTAGGATCAGATCTAAGAAAGTAAGATTAAACTAAGGACCATTTCAATAACATGAAATTGATGATCATCTAATTTACAGTACTAAAACGTGTGAAATTAACATGCATGTAAACTGGCACCTCTAAAGCTTAGCCTATTTCTTCCTTTTCATTGAAAAAATTCCATTAGCAGAATAATAATTGTGTTGTTTCGTATAAATTCTGTATTGGCTAAAGAGATTTATAACATACGAAAAAATAAAACTAAATTACACACGCACACACATTTCGCAATTCTTCGTTGTTGCATCATATTGATTATTTTCTAATAATGTTCTTATTTCTTATTTCTTTTCTCTTTTTTTTTTTCCATCTAACTAAACAGCATGAGATGCTACTGGCAGAAATCGAGTACTTCCAGAAAAGGGTAATTCATGAATTAATTCTTATCTTTCTTCTTTGTTGTTGTGAAGGGATTGGGGGAGTTATATTTGATCTCTCTCCTGCCAAAATTTTTTGTTATTTTCGTTGATTAATTTAATTGGCAACTGATAGCATGCATAATTTGCTAGGAGATTGAACTGGAAAATGAAAATCTTTGCCTTCGGACAAAGGTAAGTAGATCCATCTTTTCTTTTTTTTCCTTCATTTATCTAGCTGAAATAAATTATTCATTCTAAATAGGAAAAGAAAATTCTCTAACCATTTATTATTTAATAGTAATTTCTTTAAAATATAATATATTTTATACTAAGTTTTTTGGAACAATTTTCTTTCGGTAAGTATGAATCAACAACTTTAATGTTTGGTTTAGTACGAGAACACCTAAAGTGGGAGAATTAATTTGTCACTTATGCAGGTATACTAACCGAAACATAATTGTACAAATATTTTAATAAATCGAATTTTGTTTTCATAGAAATTGAAATAGTAAGGAGTGAAAATTTATTTAAGCTAACGTTGGCTATTAATTCTTACAGGAAAGAATTTGCTTTTACCCTTTATATATTCACTTTTTTGCTTCTTTCTTTCTGGTCTTAATCAACACAGATGAAATTGTTTTAACTAGAATATTGTTCTTACTTCCAAATTTTCAGATAACTGACGTTGAGAGGCTTCAGCAAGTAAACATGGTTTCTGGACCTGAGCTGAATGCTATCCAGGCACTAGCTTCCCGTAATTTCTTCAATCCAACCATGATGGAAGGTGGAACTGTCTACCCGCAATCAGATAAGAAGATTCTTCATCTGGGGTAAGTGCCTTCTAGTTTCACCTTCTCTATTCTCGAAAATGGATTCTCAGGAGAAAATGACTGCAGGTTGTGCAGTCGCATATTTTATTCTCGCTTGTCATTTTGGATCTTTTCAAACTTTTTTTTCCCATGATACTTACTACTTGATATCTTCATTTCATTATTTATAAAATCTATTCTGTTTTTATTTTTTTTAATTAAGTTTAAAAGGCATATACAGGTTTATTAAATAGGCAAAATATTAGCGGAAAATCGTGTTAACCTCCTACAATCTTTATATGAATAAAAATTTACTACATTTTACTTCTGACTTTTTTTCTACTCTTCCTGTTTGCGTCGTTGATGCAGTTGATCAATAATATTATGATTCGCTATAGCCCATATGACTATCCAATTAGCCCGGCCGTGGCTAAATGCATTATTACTGCTGCTCTTTCCATTACTGCTCTTTAGACTACGTGATCAGTTGCGTCCTTAAATTATCTTTTTCAATATATATGTATTATGGATATACTTATGTATTGAAGGTTGTATGATATTATGGCAGTCTATATGTTAGAAATAATAATTAAAAAAATTATGTATGAAGTCACTAAGCTACTATTGCGGCATTATATGAATGACTGTTATACATGAAAATTCGAGCAGTAAATAATTAGTATAGTGCAGCTATGGGCAAACTCGTAACAAAAGCTTTAACCCTGTTCTTATGTCAAGTGCAACAAAATATTAAAATCATCTATTCGGTTTTTCTTCTTCCGAGGAAAAGGCATGAAAGCCTCGATAAGTACGAGACATTAAAGAGTTGAGTAAAATATTTTGAGTCGTGGGAAGCCAACTAAGAATGTCTTAATTATATTCCTATATTCATTTGTTAAACAAAAAATATGATAATGACTGCTTTCATATTTTATTATATTTTTTTAGAGGCCGTAGAAAAATATTACATCCAATCTCATAAAGAGAGATTTCGTTATTGTCAAATGAGATGAAAAATATGTTGTTAAAAAACATATAAATAAACACTAATCTTCATCTATCAATATTGTAAATTTTAATTGCTTTTTCTTTTTCTAAGAACGGAATGAGCCTATACTTTCAAGGAACTTGCCTACCCATACACATATTATTAAAGTAGTCACGCATGCTTTCATATTAACACTTGTTTTTGACAATATTTTTTACAAGAAACGTGTGTTGGATGCTAAACTAAAAGAATAAGATGCAACTGAAGCGTGACCATTAATCAAGTGTCCTTATTTAGCAGGACAAAGGGCTCTAATCAACTACCATAAAGTGTTATTATAAAAAAAAATATCTTTTAGTAATAACAATAAAAAGTCAAAAATAAAAGGAGAAACAATCATAATTATTAATTAATAGTCTATATATTATACCTATAACTATATCCTTCTCATATATTATAACTTCTAGAATTAATTAAGTATCTTATCTCTACGTATAAATTGAATTTAGTTCTTATAATTTTTTTATATATAATTCTTACTTTTTTACAAATTATTATTTTTAATTTATTTAGTCAACGTGATCTATGAAGATATTGTCAAGTGTTAATTTTTGATTGCATAACATCAATTAAAAGAATTAAAAATAATAATTTCTTTACAAAAAAAAATTCCTAAAAAAATAGACTATATTTTAACATAATATTTTATAGGGACTAAATCTAGACTAAAAACTTAATTTTTTAACTTTTATTATTAGCATTTAAACTGATCAAAATAATATTATGACATCTACTTATAATTTACTATTAATATAAGGCTTAATTATATTTTTTATTTCTAAATAGTTATACTTTTTGAATTTAGTCCCCGTAAAAAAATTGATTAGGATTTAGTTTTTCACTTTTTGAACTTATTGAAAATTGGTCTTTATTGTTAACTGAATTTTGTTAAATGATCAGCTAGATAACAAAAATTTAACTCATTATTGTCATGTTATTTAGATTTTTAATATTTTATTATTTTAATATTAATATTACAAAAATATTCCTAAATTTAGTGTTATTTTTTTTCACCTCCCATTTTTCTTCTTTTTCATTCTTCTTACTTTTGCAACCTATAAACTCCTTTTCTCACTACTAGAAAAGCGGTATATACAGACGGATTTATAGACGAATTTGTGGATTATTAATTTTTTTTATTTTATGAAAAATCCGTTTATAAATCTGTCTGTATTACAGATGGATTTTTATCTGTCTATAAAATCTGTCTGTAATTTGGCCGCCATTTGGTGCGAACATATATAGACAAGAATTACAGACAAATTTTTCTGTCTGTAATTTGAAAATATGAGGGAATTTTATAGCGGGAGTTACAGACGGATTTTTCTGTGTGTAAATATGGCCGTTTTTAACCAACTTTCCAGGTGGCAAATTACAGACGTATTTTTTCGTCTGTAAATAGACTTGACAAATTTACAGACGGAAAAATTCGTCTATAATATGACACCTAAAACGCACCGTTTCATTAAACCTTTTACAGATGGATTTTTCCGTCTGTAATGATAGAAACCCATAAAATGCTGACTCCCCATTCCCCTTCCTCATTTTTACATAACTCTCTCTCTCACCCCTCTCTCTCTCACTCTCTCTTGGAGCTCAGTGTTTTGGCCTTTGCGAGTGATTGGAGCATCCATTTGAAAGAATATTTGCATCATTGTATTCCTGGTACGATACTCTAACTTTTAATCGGTTTAGTTTTTTAATTTTTTATATTTTTTAGAGACTTAAAATTTCTAAGATAGAGTTGTAGGATTGGAGATTGTATGACTGGGGGGAAGGGCGTAGAGGTCCTTCTCCAAACCTGATTATTGTGTGCTATAGGAATGTTTGTGTTTGTGGAGTTTGTAGAATATGCATGTTGTAGAGTTACAAGAGAATGTGCTCTAGAACGGTTTAGAATTGTGATGTGTTTGTGTTTGATGTATCGATTAATATATTGTTATATAATATATTAGTTATGTGTGGTGAAATTTTGATTTTTGTAAAAAAGTGGTAAACAAATGTAAGGAAATTGGCATGCATTAGGGAAGATTCTGCCAAAATTTATATTAAAAATTTGTGTAATGTATAATAAAATGTTGATACCACATTGTATATTTGTATTAGGTTTATATAGTTCTTGAGGAAGATGTTTCTCAGAAATCATCAGTGGATGTATAATAGGTTGCACCCAAGTCGGGGGGAATAAAACCTGAATTCTTTAAGGGTGTAGAGGAATTCATACGTGTAGGTTGTAATTCGCAGCAATTCATCACAAACTAAAAAGTTAGATGTCCATGTTCTAAGTACAAATGTAGAAAGTTTTTGGATATTGATTCAATTAGATATGATTTGTATAAGTTTGGATTTAAACATAATTATTGGATATGGACTAAGCATGGAGAAGTAGTTAATTTGGAAAATCAAGTAGTTAATTTTCGTCTGTACTTTATAGACAAATTGTGAAATTCGTCTGTAATTTCTTATCGACGACGATATCACAGACGGTTTATGTCTGTCTCTAAATCTGTCTATAATTTCAAAAACCATCTATAATGGGTAAAAAATCCGTCTGTAAATATGTCTGTATATACAGACTTTTTAGTAGTGTCTTCCTAAATTGAATACTTCATCAACACTCTAGTAAAAGGTGTGAATGTTGAGAGAAACTAAGTCACAAATACCTTGAATTCTTAGTTTTATCTTAGACTAAGACCTTTCAATGTTTCTTCATATAACATTTAGTTTTTTCTTCTTAAATAAATTCTTTGACTATCTTATATATAATTCTATTTATATACAATAGGTTAATTGTATGATTTAGAGTTTAGAAAAGTTCTAAAATAAATAGATATCAGAAGTAGTACCAAACTAGATCGAAATAAGGAATTAAGTTGATACCAATTCTTGAAACTTCTAAATTCATAAGAAAATTTTTTAAAACCTTAATCTAATTAGTTAAATAAGAAACTCATTAAGTATCAAACACCATTAGATTCCAATTACCCTAAGAACCATGATTAAAATCTAAGAGAAATTTACACTAAACTTATATGCACCCCACATTGTGGAAAGATGTTGCTTCAAGGACATAACTTAATTAAAACCTAAGTGAAAGTCCAAATTCTTTACTAAACTACCTTATAAACCTAAAAGAATTAAGTTCTAATTAAATTAGGATAAGACTTAAAGAAAAGAACCAATTAAAATCAAGAGATTTCAACATTTTTAGCAAGATATGAAAGGACCAAATTATCCAAAGTGTCACACGGTTTTTAAGCCATAAAAGGTGGAGTTATTGGCCTGAATTCCTTCATTGTAAAGCACCTATAAACATTGTTCCATGCCCAAAGAATTTCTGAAAGTAGCCAATAGAATAGAAATTTTTAAGGTTACAAAAGTTAGGTAAAATCATGGCAAAGAACCTTATTTTGAGCCATAGAATTGGACAAAATCATTGAAGACTAAAAACTATGGTCTCATATGGTTAAAACCTAACCAAGTGGGTTAACTTTTTAGCCTATAAAAAGTAATTATGATAGTCAAAAAGTTAGAGTTAAACCAAGGTACAAAAATAATGTGCAAAAACACTAAATTTGACGGTCTGACAAAGATTTTGTGGGCAACCAAAACATGTGAAAATCTTGTAGGTTTTAGTTGTTCAACTTGCACCCCTAGATTCTCTCTAGAATTTTTTTTTTCAAAAAAAAGTCCCCCAATGTACCTAAAGGCTACTACCCATAATAAAACACATATCAAAATTCTTTGAAAAGTTCAAAAAATTTAAGAATCAAGTACAAAATCACCATGACAAAATTGTTAAAGCACTTTGATAAGATTGAGGCAAATAATATTTATGCTAACATTTTGATAACTATTTGAAAAAGTGTAGAATAGTCTCACAAATCACTCCTCCAAGAATATCACCATGGAATGATGTTTCTGAAAGGAAAAATTCGAACCATATTAAATATGGTTTGATCTATGATAAGTAGATCAAATCCCCTTGAACATACTTTGTTAGTATTAACTTTTATACTAAATTGTCTTCCATTAAAAGTTGTTGTAAAGATACCACTTTAAATGTGGATTGGAAAATAACCCAATGTGTCTTTTATGGAGTATACTCAAAGAAAAGTTGTTAAATATACCAAAAGTTTGACAATTTGGGACTCAAACCCAATAAATGTCATTATGTAGGATACTCAAATAAAATTGAGGGTTATTATTTCTATAATCCAATCAAAGGCAAAGTATTTTTCATTAGGATTGTTGTATTCTTAGAGAAAGAGTTTCTCTTTAAGAAAATTTGTGAGAGAAAAATTATATCTTGAAAAAAAAGAACTACATAATAGCAATGAGCCTTTGAGGAACTTGGAGTAGATGCTACAAAGTGTTATGGATCCTCCACAAAATATTGTAAACTCATCAGCTCAAGTATGTTAAATAAATTAGTCACCAACTTAAGAGATATAGGTTTTTTGTATCTCAATAAAGGGATGTATCACTAATGGATCAAGATGAATTAGTGACTTATTTCAAATCCAAAATTTAAAAAATGGCCTAAAGCCATGAGATTAGAAATGGAATTCATATAAACTAATTAAGCATAGACTTTGCTTGGCCCAACTAAAAGGGTAAAATTTATTGGGTGCAAGTGAGTTTTAAAAAAAGAAACAATCGTGGATAATAATGAGTACCTTTCTTATACAATTGATAGCTAAATGTTTTAAACAAATTCATGGTGTATGATGTGATGAGACTTTATTTTTCTTAATTGGTTTGCTTAAATCTATTTTAATCTTGCTTAATATTGTAATGTACCATGTTTATGAAATCTAACAAACAGATGTAAAGATCATTTTCCAAAATATAAATATTGTTGAAAATGTGTATATGATATAATTGGAAGGCTTTATTAAGCCTAAAGTTGTAAAAAAAAATATGTATGTTACAATACTCTATTTATAGACTAAAGTGAACTTCTAGAACCTAGAATCTTCATTTCAATGAAGTAGTTAGATAATTTGACTTCATAAAAATGAAGACGAATTTTTTTTCTATAAGAAAGTCAACAACAATATAATTATTTTTTGTGTACCATTTATGGATGACATACTTATCATTGAAAATGATATCCTTACGTTTTAGTCTCTATAAACATGGTTAGGTAATTATGCTTCCATGAAGAACTTAGATGAAACAACCTATGTATTATGTATTATGATATGTAAAGATAGACCATAGAGATTGTTTAACTTAAGTCAAAGTACATACATAAATAAATTATTAAAATGATTTAACATGCTAGATTCTAATAAATGATTTATACTTATATCTCATGCTACAAGTTTATTAAATTTAATCTCTATCCATTAAGGAAAAGAGAGATTGCATGAGTAAGATTCTATATGAATAAGCTATTAGGTTTATCATGCATGTCATATTATACCTAACAACATATATCATATAGTTTAAGCATGACAAGTAGGTACCAGTTTGATCCTAGTGACTGGGTTACTATCAAGAATATCCTTAAATATTTGAGAAGAACTAATGATTCATTCTTGATATATAGAGATCAAGATAAGTTGGTTGTAAAAAAGTTACTCTGGTGCTATCATGCAAATTGATAATGATCACTCAATGTCATAATCAAGTTATGTGTTTTATTTGAATCTTGATGTTGTAAGTTGAAAAAATTTAAAGCATGAGATAGTTTATCATTCTACCACATAAACTAAATGTAACATTGCTTGAATGCTACAAAAGAGGTCATTTAGATTAAAAAGTTCATTTTGAAAACTTGGCGTAGTTTATAAGATTATGGATCTTGTGAATATCTATTGTGATAATAATGGATCCACATTGTTAAAGTTAAGGAACTTAAATCTACTCAACAATTAAAAAATATTAATAGAAGATTTAATCTCATCCAAGAAATCATTGATGAGAAAGATGCAAAGATAAATAACAAGGATACAAATGATAATATCTTGGTTTGATTAACTAATTCTCTACCTTGATAAAAGTATGAGGAGAATACTAGGTCACTAGACATTAATGATATGTCTAATTGGCTCTTGTTTAAGTTGAAAATTGTTATGGTATATACTAGAAGTCTTTATATTATGTATATATTATTTGCATTACAATTATTTATTTCAATAAATTGAGACATTTTAAATTTATTTTTTAAATAATATAATAATATCTTTAGAATAATTAATTCAACTTTGTAGTAAATAACTTGATAGTGACATCTTACATAGTGTTATTTTTAAAATGTCTCTAGTCAAATAATATAATACATTAAAACTATTATGTGAATGAGTTGATTGATTAAGTTTCACATATTATCAATACGAGATGTCAAGTCTTCACACAAAATACACATTCAAAATAATGATAGTATTAAATTACATTATATGAATAATTACATAAGTGTCAAAAATAATTTTCAATACGATAGTATATATATGTTGTTCTTTGACTTAAAGTCACTACAATTCTCACATAAGACACTTTATTTTTTAATTCCATCAAAGTAATAAGGTCACCCTAAAGTTAAATGTTAGACATACAATAAATAAATCATGTGGAGCAATGTGAGTTATAAAGATGAAATTTGTCCTTTTTATAAAAACATAAGTAATATTTGTAAATCTCTTAATAGAGTCAAACTATGATAAATATAAAATATTTATTTTAAAAGCATCTACTTCGATATAAAAAAATAAAATTGAACTTTACTAGATGACAAGTTTCATGTTTTGTATGCAAGTAGATACATGTACAAATAGACTAATAATATAATAAATATTACCATATAAATAAGTTATAATAATTTAATAATATTCTTAATATTTAAATAATAGTGATGTATGGTAAGATATTATTACTATTTATGATATTAAAAAATAGCTCATATTTAATATTATTATTAAATATTAAAAGAACTAAGAAATTGAATTAGATTAGAATTATTATCTAATTAGATTAAATTTATAAAAAATAAACTTATAAATTGAATCTGGCTTGTTAGTGTGTTTTTTTTTTTTTTAAATGAGCATTAAACGTGAAATATAGTGTACATTGATCATATTTCTCTTTTGCTTTTATTGATTTTCAAGTGAATTATTTGTATAAATTCAAATAAACACATTTATTAAATGATAACCTTATTCATCATAAAGTGGATTATTTTATTAACAATGTTTAGTTTATTAAATTTTAAATTAAGATGAAAAAGATAATTTTTTTTAAAAAAAAAATAAAGTTCTTAACATATATCAAATTTTGTAACTTTTTAAAAAGGATTAAGTTTTGAAAATAATAATAAATTAATATATGAGGATTTTAAAAAGGCTTAGCTTTTAAAAATAATGAGAAAAGAAATTAATATATAAGGATCGATATCATGTTTACATATAATCCTTAAAATAATATTTTATTAATTAAACATCGTTTAAAAATTTTAAATTTTATATTTTATTATATATTTTTGTTATCAATAAAACAGTTTTATTTAAATATTGAAATATTCTATTTTTATATTTTATATATGAGATATTAACTCTATAATATAAAATACAGGAATTAAAAGTAAGACAATAACTTAATCGTTGGGAAAAGAAAATTTATTTAAACAATGTCTTGGAATAATTAATCTTCGAAAAAGAGAACTTACTTGTAGATAAGCTTCTTTACGACTTTAGTCCTCTTGGAAATAACCCTAGGCTTAGGTCAAAGAAAATAAAAAACCTTAATTACGGGTGAATAAGAATATGTTTGAGAAACGGGTCATAAGTTTGAGCCCAGTTGGTGGAAGGAATCAAAAAGGTGAAGTGAGTGCTGATGAAATAGGGAAGAATTAGTAGAGAAATTGGTGATGGAAAGGAAGATGAAGGTCCGTTCCGAAAGGGAAAGGACGAAAGTGGTGATTAGGCATTTGCCCCCTTCTCTCACTCAATCTGATCTCTTCCAACACATCGATTCCCGCTTCTCTTCTCGCTACAATTGGTTCTCTTTCCGTCCCGGCAACAACAGGTTCTTTCTTTTCCCTCAATCCAATAGCTATTACTTCTCTGTAACAAAACCCTAACCAATTTCTTGGCTCTTCTAAGCTAATATCACGTCTTCTTTTGTAGTCACAAGCGTCAGAGGCATTCCCGAGCGTATATAGACTTCAAGTGTCCCCAAGATGTATTCGAGTTCGCTGAGTTCTTTGACGGACACGTTTTCGTTAACGAGAGAGGTAGTTTTTGTTTATTTTCTCCCACTTCTTCGTCGCTCTCTCTTTCTGATGTTGAATGTTCAATCAGGTGCACAGCATAAAGCGATTGTTGAGTACGCGCCTTCTCAGCGTGTTCCCAAGCCGAGTGCCAAAAAGGATGGACGTGAAGGGACTATATACAAAGGTATCAATATCTTCGTAATTGTAATGCTACTGGGTATTACAGCGTGTGTTTGTTTTATTTATGATTATTGTTAATTTGTTTTTTTTATTTTTTTAAATAAGGACAGATCCAGATTATCTTGAGTTCCTCAAACTCATTGCGAAGCCGCACGAGCATCTTCCTAGTGCAGAAATACAGTTGGAAAGAAAAGAAGCTGAGCAAGCTGGTTAGTTATTAGTTCACTGACTGCATATGATTTACGCTTGTTCAAATTTGAATTGATGAACAGTGTGATCGCTTTGCTGCACGGACATTCTGTGCTGCTTTTGATGGTGTATGCTGTTTCTCTGTTAGTTTTGCTGTCAATACGTTTTGAAGGATCTTAATGCAAGGTCTAGGGTAAATGTGTATGCGGGGATTTGTCTTAAGACAAACAGTAACGTTGGTCTCATATTGTATTCTCCTTTCTAGGGGCTAACAAGGACGCACCTATTGTCACACCCTTGATGGAATATGTTCGCCAGAAACGTGCTGTTGACAGTGGTATGCAGGTAACGATTCTGTATTTGCGTTTTCATATATATATATATATATATATATATATATATATATATATATATATGGACCTTTTAACATTTAATGACAGCAATGCATGTTAAGGGCTATAACTAGGATTTGGTGCATATTATATAAAAGACATGTAGGAGCAAGATTTGATGTAAATGTTTTGTTTACAAAAGAGTGCTGGAGAATAATGTAGGTGAAAAGTACCACGTGTTGTACTAGTCTATGTTTGTGTGAAAATGATTTTAATTTTACCATAGTAATCTCGCATGAACATGTTCTTCTCATCAATGTTATTTGCAACCTTGTGCCTTGCGAATTGAACTGTAAAATGTAGAGCTACAAGATGCAAAGCTTTCAAACAAATAAAGTAGGTAGGACATTTGGATTTATGACAAGGGATGGATCACTTAGCTTTTGGGGTCTTAAGAGACCTGTGAATGTTGTGGGCCTGCATGCTAATTGTCTACTCTAATGGGATTATGAGAATATGAAATTTTAGTTGTGATTGTTGAGTTGGGTCTTGTATCAATATTGAGCTGGACTTTGATTAAGAAAGACACTTGACAACTTGTTTTGCATTTGAGTTTTCTTCCTTATATATTCTTTGATTTTTTTATTGATCATTTAAAAGTTACTACTAACAGTTCTGAAGCTAGAATGTATTTGGGGTCATGAATGATTCATGCTACAAGTGTCATAGTTTCGTTGTCATAACATGCTTGGTTCATAAACTCGTATCAGGAAAGTTTTCTGAATAAAATAATTATTTTTGTGTAAACCAAAGACTATGGGATTTAAATTTCAGCTTGCCCTATATTTTTTTCCATCAAAACCCATACCTGGGGTTACATCTGTTTCAAGTTGTTTACAGGCTGTGTATTTTGGGATTTCCAACTGCTTTGTCCTGGATAGTTGTTGGTGGTATTGAGCATATGTACTATAACATTTTAACCCTGTTTGTTAACCTGTTCTCTAGATTTTTGGCCCTTCAGTGGCTGTGATGAATTTTGAATGGATAAAAATATGATAAATGTACTACCTCATAAAATTTGCAGTTTATAATATGCATCCTCCGTTTATACTATGCCTTTTTATCATTAAGGCTTTTAAGTTCCTCTCCTGCTGGGAGAAATTATTTTGGTATTATATCTATGTAAATTCTTAAATCACAAATCAATGCAAGTTATGATGGTTTTTCCTGCTTGAGTATATGTTGACATATAATCCACATCTTGTGTTTTTCACAATCAATGGTAGGCTTCATTGGCTGTGGCAAAAATTAGCAGAAGAGCAAGAGCTGCTTTGCCAGGCAAGCCTGGCACAGGCAATTCTAAACGAGGATCTGAAAAGAAGAAGGTAAACCTGTGCAATTAAATGCATATATATTTTTGTTGCTGGTGCCAATGCATAATCACTTGACTCATTTTGAATGCCTTGAAAATTGTAATTTTTCTATTAATACAGTAAACAATTAAAGACAAAATAAATCAAGTTGTTATTCCCCTCTAAGTGGCTCCTAAATCTTAATTCTTTGTGGCATTTTAACTTTCAATAATAGTTTTGAGCTACCAAGTGGCCGACCATAGAATTTCTAGGAAATCTTATTGATTCCTTGAAACCAACATGTTTGTGAACTGAAGTCAAGTGTATAGAATGGTTAGATGTGTGCATGAGCATACATGTAGTCAAGTATTAGCTTTTTTAACATCTTTTCATTTTTATATATCATGAGGATAAAATTGTGAAAAATAACTAACTAGTAACTCTCTCTTTTGCGACGTTCATGGTATCAATAGTGACCAATAGAGGTGCTATTGACTTATTGTGGTGGAGCAGTGGAGAGCAGGCCTCTTCTGCTTTCTGAAGTTAGTTGCATGACTTGCATCGCATGCAAGTGTAGCCTGGGTAGCAGAAGGAGCAGCTGCTATTCTTCAAAGATTGAAATCTCTCTTTCAATCTAGTTAAATCTATGAAATGTTAAAACAATCCCCAGTGTCATTGCTGAAGCAAAATACTGAATACTTTGACAAGAAATGGATTCTTATAGTTATTCTTTCTTAATGCTATTGCTGTCAATTGTCATTCATGGTTCTTTGTCTCAACATACAAAGTGAACATTAAGATTTGAAATAACTATAAGAACAATTATTGAACATTCTAGATATAGGAACAAGGTATTTAGTCGTTACTCTATTTGAAAATCCTATACTTTCAATCTTCTATTTTTGAATAAATCTACTTATGCAACTATAATTTTATAAATTAAATAGACATCCTTCAATGTAAATTGTAATTGTGTTACCTTGCCTTTTGACTTTTTCATTTCTAAAGCTAATGATTTTGAAGATTTTTATATTTGGCTTTTGTTTGCAAAAGGTCAGTGGGTTGTGTCACTTAATGAAAATTAATTTTGATTGTCAGTATGTTCAGAAGGACAATGCCAAGAGTGCCAATCGGAAGGAGTCAAAAGACAAGTCAGCCTTTATTGTGGTCCCCCGGCGAGAGGATCAATCAGCTACATCAAGTATTAAAGGAATTTCAGAAATTGAAACTTGTAATTCATCTCTTCCCTTTCTGATGTTTCTCCTATAACATTTCTCTCTGACATTCTTCCTAGACTTCATCTCTCTATATTGCATAATGCCCCTGAAACCCAGATTATTCAACTCTTGCTACTGTTTCATGAAATTTTCACTTTGGAAATATACATAACAGGAAATTCTGTGAATTAAAATCTCTTATGGTTTTACTGAATATAATCCTTCTAATCCTAGTTTCAGTTTCTCACTTCATCTCCCAGCGGTGATTTCCTTCTAAATAAACCCATTTGGAATTCAATCGTACCCTCTAAAGTCAAATCCTTTGTATAGACTGCAGTTCTAAATAACACCAATGATTTACTTCAAATTCAAAGACCTTTAACGTCGTTATCTCCTGATTATTGCACAGTGGGCTGATTTAGTTCTTAAACTAGTTTTCATTTGTTTGTCTTTCTCAGGAGTTTACTCTTTCCATTTCAAATATTATATCTATTTTATTGAAGGATCTGGATTCTCTGCAGTGATTCTCTCTCTCTCTCTGAAAGTTAGTGGATATGATATTTGAAATGCTGGTAGGAACCCTTCTACTTTTGGAGAGAGAAGCAAAACCAGCATTCCTTCTGTTCTTAGAGCTAAGATTGGCAGGGGATCCAAAGTTAATTTTGAAATTTTTTCCAAGATTCATCTATTGTAAAAAGTTGGCTTAAGTTTCTTGCCAAATTTCATTTGTTTAAAGTGGTAAATTTTCTTATTTGTGATTGATGAATGTGCAGTACATGGCATTGAAGGTCCCATTTCTGGAATTCCACTGACTTCTGACTCAGGAAAGAAAAAATTCCTTCTTCTGAAAGGAAAACAACGAGAAATTCCTAGTGTATGTCTCACTTTACCCTTTAAAGATTTTGTTTCTTTTCGGCAAATACGTGGCTTATCTCTATTTTGCTTGCTATTATTAATCAGTAATTCCGATTTCCTTTTGATAGGATTATGCTCTTCCTAGTAAACGAAAATAAAAAGTTTATTTTTCTCCCTGCCCCCTCTATGCAAGGTTTATGAGCTTGCCTGTGGTAGATGTCAGAATTTTTTTCTCATCAGAAGTAATTTAAGTGTTACTTTTTCTTGAAAGTAATTTTGGAGCTGTTAAATCACTCAAATGTACTTTTTAAGATCCCACACTCAAACATGATTAAACTCATCTCTGTAAATTTGTCATTACGAACATTTTTTTTTTAAATTTTCAGGCTGCTGATAGTTTGGTAAAACAGCAAAATGTACAATCTGGAAACACTCCCATTTCTGCAAAACAGAACCAGAGGCGTGAAGCTAGTGGAAGATTGATTAGGAGCATACTTTTAAATAATGAAGCTCGTCAAAGTCAGTCTACAACTGGTACACAACATAAAATTCAAATCTTAACTTCTGAGAATGGGAAGCGGCCACCTCGTCCCTTTGGCTCAAGGTCCGGCTTAAATGATCAAGTCTCTGGTCATGATGCTGGTCAAGTCAATTCTGAAGGGGATTCTAAAAGGTCTTCGGATGACAAGTTTGTAAAAAAGGATCTGCATGGTTCAGGTAATGTAGGTGACAAAACAGAAAAACGTACTCGAAACAAGGATAGACCTGATCGCGGTGTTTGGACCCCTCTTCGTCGTTCTGATGTTTCACAAACTGGTAATGAGCACTCATCATCTTCATTGACTCAGCCTACGCTTTCAAATCCTGATTCTGCTGAAGGTATGACCATTGACTAAGCAACAATTTGTTTACAAATAAAAATAAACGATAGTCTTTCCAATATTTGATATAGATACTGTGAAATCATTGCCATACTTCAAATTTCAAATGAAAGCTGAGTGATTAAAATCTACTGTCTGGTGCTGATTTTCTAGTTTCGGCAGGAGAAGCAAAAGAAAGTGTTTCTTCTGCAAACAGGAGCGGGGAATTCCCTGCTTCTGCAGGTGGACGAGTCAGTTCCTCTGTAGAAAATGGTTGGTGTCTCTTTACTAATTATGGCTAATAAATCGACAACTCATAATATGCACATTAGAGTGTATTTGTCTTGATTCTATTTTTCAACCAAACTTTTGATCTCTCTAGGTTCTCAAAGAAATTTTACTCGCCGTGGATCTTCTTATGTAGTGAAGGATGATGGTGCAGTCAGTTTGAATGAAGGGAAACCTTCCAAGAAAGGTGGTGTTGGGCATAGTGCTCATGAGGTATACATGTCTGATGGTGATGTATTTTGTCATGCCTCTTTGCTTGATTCATTGTGTGTAAAATGCTTATTGTGTCCGCAGAAACAAGTCTGGGTTCAGAAATCATCTTCAGGTTCTTAAATATTTGTGGTAAGTCCTTGTTTATTTGCTTTTGATTTTATTGTTTGATGTCTCTTCTAACTGAGCTTCAGTGCTTATCATATCATTTTGGGAATTAATCACTCGTTCTGATAAAAAGGTTGATCTCTTTGAAAATCTTCTGTGAAATTGGTGTTTAGTTGTGATAAGTTTGTGATTGCTTTTGACTGCTAATAAACCTAGTGTGTTTGACTTTTTGATTAAGATATAGTTCCTGTGTGGGTAAACTTCTAAAGTTCTCCTGGAGAAAAAATCAGTATTAAAAATAAATAAAACTTATCCCATAAATTAGAAACAACTTATACTTCTGTATTTTATGAGAAGTTCTGGTAAGCTCTCTCATTTAGCTTATTTAAAATTTGAAGAGAGAAGCTGTTTTTAACTTATAGAAGTTTTATTCATTATTTATACTATTTTTTTCCTTCTATAATGATTTCTCTAGAAGTTCACCCAAACATGGCCATAGTTTTTGAAAATATATATATCAGTGGCAAGTTCTTCCATTAGTCCTAATTTATTTTAAAAAACAGGAGAAAAGATAGGAAAAGCCATGGTGGTGAAAATTACACCATAGTCATTACACTACCAGGTTCCAGCCTTTGCTTTGCAATTTACATCATTAACAATTTTTCCTTATTCCAATATTAATGAGCGAAAAACATTTTGTTGTCTTCCCCTTAGGTATAATTTCAATTGATATTGATTTTTCCAAGATCTATTTTATTTCTAAATATCTTGCATTTAATTGTCGCAAGAGAGTCTAATGATTTCTTTGATGTGATTATATTATCAAATTCCACATGTTCAATGATTTGGATTATGGAACTGAATTAGTATTCGATGGTAGCATCAATAAATGTATAATTAATTGCTTACAGAAAAATAGGAATTGTATATTTGTCCATCATTAATTGGTTATGGTCTTATAATTGTTCAGATGTTACATATGATAATGATTTTGCCAAGCATAACCCTTAGGAAACTTGTCAGTTTTGAAGTTTTTATTGGAAATCATGACATAATGCATTAAGGGTCGGTTTGGTGAATATGAAATGATAGAAAATAAGATGAGAGTTATATAAAAAGAACCTTGAACGAAGTTATTTAGAGACATTTTGATTAACTAGATTTTTGAAAATTTAATTTTTTACTTAGGTCATGTGATTCATGTAGCTGACTTCATCTAGTTAGCTAAGGCTTGATTGTTGTTGTTGTTGTTGTTATGTTTGATGCACATTAGGATAGTAAATTAAATAATACTGTCATCCTATCCAACATTAGAGATAAATAAAAAGTAATATAACGATATAAAATATATTTAAATGACAAAATTACTGTTTTATCAAAATTAATATGATTTTTTAAAATAAAATTTAAAATGTGTACAATTAATATTAAATTTTGATATTAAATTATAAAAATTTTCTTAAAAAGTGCTGCAGTCAAAATATAAATTTGTGGTAAATTATAATTTAAAAAATGAATTATAAAAAAATTAAAACTATATTTTATACAATGAATAAAATATATTTTATAAAAGTACATTTTTCAATAAAAATCTTTTGTGAAAAAATATTTTTGAAAGCATTTTTTATTATAAATAGTGTTCATATAATTTTTTTATAAAATATTATTGAGGTATGAGTAAGGCAGAAAAGAAAAAGTTATCTTGTCCTGTTAATTTTTTACTTATCACTCTTCTCAAAGTCAGAATTTAAACTATTAGAATAGGATAGGATCACTCAACAGTATAAGTTCGGCTCAACAAACACTGAAAATATAATAGAGTAGGATAAACTATCCTATCATGATCTCTTATTCCAACTACAACTGTTATCCTTTTCACTTTTCACTTTGATTTGGCAATGGTTAGCAAAACTGATATAATAATCACATCAAACTGTAATAATTATTTTACATGTTGAAGTCTAATGAATGTTTGATGGATTATTAACATTCACAAATAAGTGATCAGATGTTCCTAATCTTTTTAAGGACATCATGTGAATCTTTGCATTTAGCTACTGGCAAAATCAAATTCACTAAAATTGGGGTTGAAAACTAGAATGAAAAATTATAGACCACAGCGGGGTAATCTTGAAATATCTTTCACATGAAACTAAAAGCTTTTTAATCCTTCTGTTATGTGCACATCTTTAGAAGCATATGCCAAACAATAACTTAAGTCATTTGGGAGTTTATTACTTAAATCTCCAGTTATTTTGACAGCAAATTCTAGAAATTTCTGGCTTCTTGATGAGCTTTGAAAAGATAAAGGATTTTCATTCTGATGTGAGATTTAAGTACATGTTGGTTATTTTCTTTGACTCTACTTCATTATCTGAGTAGGATGGAACAACAGAATCTCATGCCAGTGCTAACTGTATCAACCCATTAATTAATGATATGCCAATAATTTATGATGTTAGTGTGCCGAACATAATTGCACCTTCTTTATGCAAGAATATTTTGTTTCCAAAGGTGAGATTATTTGATATAATGCCATTTGTGTTAGTTACAATCCATCGAAGAAAGGTGGTTATTTAACTAAATTTTTACCATCATATAATTGTCCTTGGTTAGTGATAATAAGTTAGATTGGTGCCTATAAATGTCATATCTGATATCTGGTATTGTAGTTTTGAGTTATTATGTTGATACTAGAATATTTTGAGTAAAAATTGTTACTTCAAATTTTAACCTTGTGCTTTTATTGTTGAATGAATGTGTAGAGTAATAACTAAAAGATGCTGCTTTACCTTTATTTAGTAATTAGTACGCTCGTTTATCTTGTGGTGTAAAGAGTATTGATTTCATTCAGTATTGCTGTTATCTTTTGTAATGTTATAAATAGATTATGGACACTCAGTCAGGGCATCATTCCTGCTATGTTGAGCTACGGTCTCCGTCTAGGACATCTTCCACAACTGATTCAGGCCAACCTGAGCCTGAGCGACTTTTAAGGTACAAGTGCTGCTTTTGTTAAAAGGAATACTTGAATGCAAGTTCTTAAAAAGGGCAGCCCAAATCCCATCTCCTATAGGGAGCAAATATATGCATAGCCTTACACTCGAGAAGACTAGAATTTAAACCTAGAGACCACAAGCCAGCAACTTTATTGTTGGGCAAAGGCTTGTGATCAATTTCTTTGGCTTGTTATATTCTTACTATCTGAAATTTCTTTGGCTTGTTATCAATGCCACATTTGGATCTTTACAGAAAAATTATCCAGTTGTTGCCTGACGGAGCCTGCACAATGAAGGGAATGCAAAGTTACAGACCTCGTTGACATGATTATCTACTGAAAACAGATTGGCATTGTTAACCATGTTCGTGGGTTAGACCCTTTATGGTTCGTGTCTCCTTAAATTGAATATTTCAGTGTTGGGAAATGTTTGTGTTTGGGATGTAACTGTATAGTGCTTGGTACTTACCATGGGATAGTAGGATGGGAAGAGTGAAGCATTTTGTCCCGTCCAGTGGACGTGCGAGTAGTTAAATAGTTTCTTGTATTTAAGCCTTATTACTTTATTTTACCGTGCGCATGGTGCACGTGTTATTGTAAGGATATTAACTTGTCTTTGGTACTCTAGAATCACCCCGATTCCATGCACATGTCATGAATGATGAATTTCTCTTTTAATTAATGAAGAAATTATTAGAAGGAATAGAAAAGTTACCAGAAGAAAAGGAATTCGCAAAAGAACGAGAATAGAAAGACACATCAGTCCACATAAACGAAATTGGGCATGATTTTACAATTTTGCCCCTGCACACGTAATTCCAAAGTATTCCATGGGCCGTTAGTAGTAATATTTAATATAATCTTAAACCAATATTTTGAGAGAAAAATGAATTGGAGATCCAGTGTGGGAGGTTTTTGTTCACAAGGATTCTAATGTAGTAGTAGTTTGTTTGCAATCATATCGGTAGGAGTGATGTACTTGCATTGAAATGAAAGTAAGCATCACACGGTAGCTTACAATATAAGGTGTAATTTACGCCAACTCATTGGGAGCAATTTGAATTTTTCATTTCAGTTAGGAGAGTAAAGGGAGTGAGTTTGCTGATACGACTCAAAATACAGTCTAATTAAGTAGAAATTAATGATTAAGGAACCGTTTGGTAGAAGTTACAAGGAATTTATGAAAATAATTTATAACTTTTAAAAGTATTTTTTTACTTATTAAAATAAGTCTTTTTAAGTTTATCTTAATAACATTTATGATTAAATTTATATCATAAGTTTTCATATAAAAAGAGCTTATTGAATAATTTAAAATTAAATTAATATATTAGTTTTTTAACTCTTGGTTTTATTTGGATTTGATCTTCTAACTTTTTTTTTTATTTCAATTTTTTAATTTATAAAGGTGTTTCCATTAAAAATGTTAATTTTGTTGAAAATACTATTTATTGTTTTTCTTCTTGTAAACCTTAAACAACAAATACAATACATTCAAGCAAAATTTTAGCTGTTCTCCCCCCCCCCCCCCTCTTTTTTTTCATTTTTCTTCTTCCTCTTTCTTTCTCTAGACCCACTTTTCTTCCTCTTGTTTTGTTAGGGCAACAAAAAAAAATTGAACCTAAAAGCTCTGAACGGAAATTTTGTATAGCTTATGGAGATAATTATAATATAATAGTAAGAATTAAAATAAATAGATCATTGTTTGATTCAATACAAAAAATCAAATCAAATTAGATTATTATTACAAAAATATTATCCAACAAAGTTATTGCGATGTTACCACCTCAAAATGAATAAAATAAAAATTGAAAATAGCATTAAGTTGAGAAAATTCTTACATTTTCTCTTCAAGTTTGGAAAGTTGGTTTGCAGAGAGAAGAACAAGGGAAGAGTGAGAAGTTTGGGTCTTCTAATGGTAAATTGAGGGTGGTGCATTATTATATAGAAAAAAGGAAATATGAGAAGAAAAAGAGAAATGAAATTTTTTTTGAAATATACTTTGTTTTCTTTTCCTTTAATCCGTTGATATACAATATTTATAAATATATAATATTTTTTTATTTATAAACTCAATAAAAATTAAATCTTAAATAAATATTAACAAACGTTGACAATAAACACTTTATATTTTTTATTTACAGACTTAACTAAAATTAAATTATGAATAAATATTGACGAATATTGATAACAAACATTAATGCTATTGACATTAATAAACATTAACACTATTAAAAATTTATTTGTTAAAGTGTCAAAAGAACAATGACATCATTGATAAATATAAACAAAAAAAATTCTTTTTAAATTAGTTAGTTAAAGAACCAATATAAATGTATATTTTTTATATTAATTGGTTAATTTAAAATCTCTTCATTCATTACATAATATGTATTTACATTGGTTAATTAAAAATTATTTTTAACTAATACAAAAGACCTTTTTTCAATTAATATTTTTAATATGTTTTTAGAGGCACCTACTTGTTTTCAAAATCTCTTAAATAAACACGAGTTGGCATCTATTATGCCACCTCGAGTTTGAGAGTGTGTGTTAGTTAATTCCAGAGGATATATCAAAGTTATAAGAGATTTTCAATAGAAATAGTTAGCTAATTTTGATAACTTAATTTGGACAATCATATCAGTCAAAGATTCCCTGTATATTGTATCATGTACACATTTATACCATGACATGTACTTCCTTGTGTCCTGCGCCTTTTCTGTTAACAGCAATAATTAATGTTCCCCATGGCCGTTGGTCATGCTTGGAAAATGAGATTGAAGAAATGTAGTAAATGCTTTGTTCTGCTACAAATGGCAAGAGTTTGTAAAATACTATTCCATCATAATCTTTCATTTCTTTTCGTTCTTCTAAAAAAATCAAATAAAATTATCCATTCGTATTTTCTCCAGACACCTTCCAAAAATATAAAAACACACTCAAAAGGTCTAATTGATTGGACAAGTTTAAAGGCCACCCATAAGATCTCAATATATCATTTTCATTAGCCTTTTCATGAATAAGATTAAAAAAATTTGAAGCCACCTGTGATTCTATTTAACCTGAGTTTGTTTAAGCACTTTTACTCTAATATTGAAAGAACAATAAAAGTTAGTTGTCAAAGCCAAAATTTAAAGTACAAAGCTTAATATTACTATACACATGAACCGGAAAAAAAAAATTGAACCAAGGCTTACAGAAGTCACTTACTAATTGAATAATACTGTTGTCTTAAAGGCAATGAAATCATTCTCCTCCCTTCCTCTATTATATTTCAAGATTATAAAAAATAATAAAAATACTTCTCCCAATTGGGCTTCCTATATGATGGTCAATATAGCAAAGCCATATTAACTCTATAATTTCGTAATCCTTGGAGGTAGAAAGATAAGAAAAATCAAATTGACAGTTAAGCTATGGAATTTGAGCTATTTCCAACAATATTTTGTGGAGAGATTGTGGTTTGGAGAAGAATGGACAGTGGTCACTGCCTTTGATCTTGAAAACTCCTTCAGGTGGATTTTCTCTGACAAGCTTCTCTTGCACATCTGGTGAAAGTGCACGATCATCCAACGTTTGAATGTAAAAGCGGCGACCAATGCCATATTTGTCAGGAGATAAAGACAGCTTCTCCAGGATTGGACCAAGCGGACTATGTCTCATGGAAACCATGGCTAAAGCAACATCCTGAAATAAACCTCATTTCAAATATTATCAGACCAGATGCATAGAGTAGTCGGAATCTATGAGACTTTGGCTGGGACGTTTTACATTGAAAATTCTAATTCAAGTTGTTACAACTACCAGGTCCCTCCAACAGTAAAGGCTTTCACCTCCTTAATTATTTCAACTAGGACTCAATTTACACCATACAACTAAAAATCTAATAAATTTAGATGGTATAATAATTTTTATTTGAAACAATGAAACATGTTCCATGAAAGATATGGATTGAAAATGTTTAAAATATGTATACGTATTAGAAATATTTATACAAACCCCATAATTTACATGACGTAGTGTTGAGATACTAGAAACACACTAAGTGATTGTATTGAGCTATGTCAGAGGATTAATCCCTAAAAACAAAAAGGAAAAAACACATTTCGGCAGCAGGAAAAGAAAAGATCCAACCTTAGTATAACAATACTTAATAACATAAAAATAATATATACGAACAACTTCTCCCAGACTTGTAATAGTTTTTAGCAATTACAGTGCCAATACCTACAAGTTGGATCTGAACTAAGCATGGTACAACCACCACCAAGGCTTTTCTTACAAAGTGAAGACAACTACATGAATCAAACAATGCTATAATTTTCTATCGTAAATCATGGAAGAAAGACAAATTATTGACAGCCAGATCCTTCTTAATTATTTCTCCTATAGTTTTTCATGGTCTCTGCTTTTAGCTACTAGGCTACCCTCCATCCTATCTACTATCCTTACCAAGCCTACAGGTCTTCTCAACACATGCCTAAACCACCCGAGACTTTTTTTTCTACAAGATGCTCTACCCAACTTTTTCCTCAATAGCATTTATTTATAATCCTATATTGTCTAGCAAATCCACTTATCCAACGCAACATTCTCATCTTTGCTATGTTGAGTTTATTCTCTTTTTGGCTTTTAACTGCCCTACATTCAGTTCCATACGACTTGTGCTAAAATTTTCTTTGAAGTTTATGCAGTACCTTTTTATCATAGATAACACCCGAGACACTCCATACCAAATTAGGCTAAGTAGAACAGAAAATATATAGGAACCCACAAATTCAGCAGTTCTGCTCCTTCTCAGTCAATTGACTCAATAACAAAGTAGACCAGCACTGTTTCTTTATCCTTATATGGGTTACAGAATAGCAGGGTAGCAACCCAAGAGTGACATCATGCTCGTACTTGGGCAAAAGCAGTATTGATTAACGTGTTAACTTTCAAACACATTGCAAGATTGTTAGAGAAGAAGTCAAGTACAAGTAAGGGAAGGATAGGACATCCTCCAAAATAGAAAAATATGACAAAGGCAAGGAAAGAGATGCAAACAAAGGTATAATCAAGAATATGGTGTTGACTCGTTTGAAGGCACGACTTGTTGCAAAAGGGTATGCTCAAACTTATGGTGTTGACTACACTAATATGTTTTCTCTAGTTACTAAACTCTCAATTGTTCGCATCTTTATCTCTCTTGCAGCTATGTATCATTGGCCATTATTCTAATTAGATGTCAAGAATGCATTCTTACATGAAGACTTACAGGAGGTGTACATAAGCAACCACCTAACTTTGTTGCTCAGGGGGAGTGTGGAAGAGTGTCATTTAAAGAAGTCATTATATGGCTTGAAACAGTCACTTAGAGCATAGTTTGAGAGATTCAGTAACGTGATTCTGGAATTTAGATTAGTAAGGAGTGAGAGTGACCATATAATGTTCTATAAACAGACTAACCTTAGTTGTATTTTGTTTGTTGTTTATGTTGATGATATTATTATTATAGATAACGACAAAGAAAGAATCAGCAACTTAAGAAAATTTTTTCAAACAAAGTTTCAGACAAAAGACTTAGGAATTCTAAAACACTTCTTGGGTATTGAAGTCATGTACTTCAAGTAAGGAATCTTCCTTTCATAGAGAAAATATGTCTTAAACTTATTGACTGAAATCATACTAAAAAGAGTCAAACCATGTGAGACACCTATGGAGCCAAGAGTGAAACTGATAGCAGATGGAGTTCATTTTGCAGATCCAAAGAAATACAAAAGATTAGTAGGCAAGCTGAATTACTTGGCTGTCACAAGGCATGATATTGCTTTTCCAGTAATTGTTGTTAGTTAGTTTGTCATCTTCGACAGAATCTCATTGGGAAGCACTAATCCACGTTGTGAAGTATTTGAAGAAAGCACTAGGAAAAAGAATTGTGTACAAAGATCATGGACATGCACAAATATAAAGGCGTTTTCTGATACTAATTGAGCATGATCTATGGGCAAAAAATCTACTACCAGATACTATGTGTTCTTGGAAGGTAATTTAATTTCATGCAAAAGTAAGAGGCAGAATATTGTATCGAGATCAAGCAAAGAATTAGAATACAAGGCGATGGCTCAGATTACCTGTGAGATAATGTGGTTGAAACATATGTTGAAAAAAATAGGATTTGACAACACTAAGCCTATGTAACTTTAGTGTGATAACTAGGCAGCGACATTGCCTCAAATCTAGTTTTTCATGAACAGACAAAACATATTAATATGGATTGTCACTTTATTCGAAAAAAAGTTCAGCAGAAACTTGTATCTATTTCTCATGTTAGGATGAGCGACCAACTAGCAGATTGTTTTCAAAGACTTTAAATGGAACATGTAGCAATTATATTTGTAACAAGCTGGGTATGATTAATATTTATACTCTAACTTGAGGGAGAGTGTTATGAATAGCTATAATATGCTTATTAGGATTAAGGTTTATGTTAGTATTATAATAACGGACTTGGCCCATTAGGGTTACATATGTATCTTTATAAATAAAAAGGTCTCTAGTCTCTACACATTGTAGAGTATCTATCTAATTTCAGCACACTAATTTGTCTCTCTCAATGCTCTCTCTTAATTCTACAAAAGCAAACCTAGAGAAACAGCTCCAAAGTGAGGGGCATGTCTGAGATACATCCATCACACCAAACAGATTATTAAGGACAGTCACTGTCTTAAAATATAGAATTAGATAGGCTTAAGTTTCTGAACTTGAGCTAAACATGACACAAATGTAAGGGAAAAACCGCAGAATAGGGCCTGCAAACTTGCAGCATGTCATTTATATTAAATCCTATCGAGTCCAACGAGTCTGCTCATAAAAAAGATTTGACCTTAAGAGAGAATTTTAGATTTCCAAATGGGTCTATTATAGAAAATAAGCAATAAATGGAAAATAGGAATCACAAGAAAAGATACTAGAAGAGTTAGTAGACCAAATTCTCCTATCTTGATAAAGGAATAAAAGTGAGAAGATAAAGGAATAAAAGTGAGAAGAATCAAGTAAAAGCAAAAGGGATTGAATCCCAACGCTCTCCCTATCATTATGGCCTCATCTAAGTGAAAGCCCAAAATTAGAATCCTGAATTGAGTAAATGCTTTGGCTGAGTGGCTCATGTAAACAAACAAACTTAAAATGAAGAAAAAACATCTGAAAAGTAATAGTTCCCACCTATACATCTGCCAAAAATCAGATCCAAGAATCATCTCCCAACCCAAAAGCAACACATACCTTCAACAGATAAAATTCCATGGATTTGCACAACTCAATTATGTTTCAGTGTTTTGTTTTGGTATCTGCTTTACGAACTTGTTTTGTAATACTGTTATGAAAACAACTTTCAGAAACAAAAGTAATTTAGAAATTTGTTTGGAATATTTGTTCAAGAAGCAAATTTTTCATAAATAAAAAATAAGTACAAAATATAATAAAAAAAACTCCTTCCTAAAGCATTTGCAGAGGGAGGATATTACAAACCTACAACACAAAAGCTTTTAAAGGAAGGGGTTTTGCTCTTTAACTTAAAGCCAGGTTGAATACCGGCCACAAATTTTTTTGTTTTGTGGGCAGTATCTACCATTCTACCTCAGGCAGAGCTCACAGATCAACAAAAAATTGAAAGTTGCTTTTCAACTTCACTCCAGTTGGTGGAACAAAGTTGAATTGTTGCCCTTATTGCACTAAATTGGTCAGAAAGGGGGACTAGAGTCATCAAGTTAATCAATCGTACTCACTTGGGATCTCCTATGAACATGGAACTTGCAAGTGGGCAACAAGAAATAAACAATTGCTAAAGGAGATGAAAGATATGATCATCATAGAATACAGCAACAGATGGGTAAGCCCAGGAAAAAAAATATATAGAAAAAGAAATAAACAAAAAAGGCAGAGCAGAGTGAATCACTCATTGTAGTAAACCATCCAATTGGCAGGCAAGGTGAAAGAAATTGAATAAATGACATGAAGGAGAAGTCATGAACCAAGACCAGATAAACATATATTCAAAAGAAAAACAAAAGCAAATATCCATTTTGGTTTTCAAAGATACAAGTGTATATCAAAATAGTCCTTCAATGTCAATATTTGAAATCAAATTTGTCCCCCCGATGCCAATCTTTTATACACCAAATTCTCTGTTTGAAAAACATCATCAAGTGACCTCTCTAACTATCTACACAATAACAGATTGATGGGCTCACTCAAGGACCTCCATTGAGGTGTACTGTAGAAGGTAGAAGTGGAGTACAGGTAATATGGAGAATGAGAGGGAAAGGGGTGGAATGAAATCAGTTGATGGGAGACAAAATTCTGTTCTGCAATATTGTAACAATATTGACACATTGAAGAAAGGTAGTGGGAAAGAAGATGCTGGAATCAATGACAGGGAGCATGAACATGAAGCTGGAAAAGGGAAGTTAGGCAATTACTTGGTTATTGTGGGGAGGCTTATGCCTGGGCAGAGCAGTTTCTTTCTCGGATTTCCTTTCTTTCCTTTCATATTGTTGTTGCTTTAGTTTCCTTGTATTCAGTGTTTGTCTCTCTGAATTGAATTGGTAATACTCAGTCATACAATAAATTCAGTTCCTATCACAGATCTTGTGAATCACTAGATCACTAAGAAACCCTTAAACCAAATAAAAATAAAACAGTTAGAAAGAAAACATTGTCCCTCTGGTTAATTGTATTTATATATTTGTGATAACATCATTTCCCCCATGTTATATAAATCATAAATAATGGCCTATATACAAACACTGTCTATTGCACACTATCATATTCAAAATTTAAAAATAATGTGATCTAGCATCAACTAGACAAGATTTCTACTGAAGCTTTATGTGTGTACTTGTCAGCACAGTAATGCATTTCAGATGAAACCAATTAATATTTCTTTTTGTATCTTGTAATATTAGAAATTACTGATTGTGAATATTTGCATGCTTTTGCTCTACTTCTTCCATCCAAACACTTCTAACAAATACGGGAAAGAAAATGAAAGAGGCCCAAAAAGTAATGAACGGTTTTTTAGTTCCAAAATTTTACTGTTTATCACAAGTTGCAAAGCTTCAAGTAGCTAATTTAAATGGATAGTCAATATAACATCTAAAAATTTAGGAGGAAAAAACTTTAGAAATGGACTCAAATCCTGCATACCTTTGCTGGGGACTGGTTAAAATACAACCCTTTCATCTGCTCTTTCTCAAACATAAATCCTGTTGGGGGCTTTTCTTTACCATTTCCATGGATCAAAAACTTTGATTCTTGCATAAAACGTTCAGCAGATCCTAGCTACAGCGTAGATAATTTGTGAGAACAATTATAAGTTCTTCCAAGAAAAATACAAAACAAAATGAAATTAAAATATTTGTAACAAAAAAATTAAACATAAAATACTGTTACTTTGACTGCTACAATGTTTACTTTGAGTGTCTATGGTAAGAAAACATTCTGAATATCACTCTTAAATACGAGCACAGTTTACTGTGCTTTTTTGCAAAATACAAAAAGTTCTTTTTATTCTAAAAATAAATGTTTTACAGTTTTTGCTTATTCAAGAGCCAATGTATTTAGCATTTCCAAGTATTTGTTATTCTTAGAAAGAAAAAAAATTGATAAAAAACGTTATTGAGAAAAGGCATGAAATGAAGTTGACTGAGTGGCTAATTATAGCAATAAAAGATTCTCTGGAAAGTTGTCTAAGACTTCAAATTATACCTATAGAATCTGGGTTACATAAATTAAAATAGTAACGATAGTAAATTTGTCATAACAGGTAAAATATTACACCAATAATATGCTTAAAGCAGCGTATCCAATAATTAAAGTAGGACAGAATGCTGTGATATTTGAGGTTGCATAACTGATCACAGAAGTATATGAAAACACCAGTTAAATACCTCATTAGCAAAAACATCAAAAGGTTTTTGGCTATCAGACACCATTGTAGCACAAAGGAAAATTGCTTTTGAGATCTTTTGTGGATAATGTTCCAATGCGTAAGAAATGCAAGCACCACCAATGCTATGACCAACAAGAACAACCTGCAAGATTTCCATTTTCGTGATACTATAATAGAATGCTGGACAATAGCATGTTTCAAGTCAAATATATTATAAATGTCACACATCCAAACCTTTTCATCCTCAGGAAGATTTTCAAGATAAACAGTTAAAGGTTTTGAATACTCTGCCAATGTAGTGACACTGTTAGTGTCAGTGAGATCAATTCCAGAACCTGTAAGATCTAAGGCAAGAGGAAGAAGTCCCGCTTCTTCTAGAAGGGCAACAGTCTTGTACCAACACCATGCTCCAAAACCTTCACCATGGATTAATACAAACTTCTTTATTTTAATGTTATCCAGATTTACTGGAACCTGCACAGGATATGACAGGCAATTCAGGAAAATATTTCAAACAAAATCCAGGGTGAAAGCAAATTTTAACATGCACAATCGAAAAGATTAAAATAGCATTCTTTTACACTATAGCTAATGTCTGACACAACACAAGGCTAACAAAGATTTCTAACTAATCTGTTGCGCAAAATCAAGGCTGCAAAGAGCACATATACTGTATCATTTTCTTTCCATTCTAGGTCCAAGTTAACATTTTCAACCCTCGAGAATATATTATTTTTAATTATACACATAAATTCAAACAAAATTTTAAAATTAATCACCAGAAAAATCCTAATATATTAAGAACTAACATAATTAAGCTTCACCACCAGCTCTAAACACGAAACAGCCCAAATTTTCACTTTACACAGATGTGCCAGAGTCTCCTATAAGAGCAGAAGAAAATAATTTCCCCATGACGCTTAAGAATAACACAGTTGGGTCAAAAGGCATTAGCATGTAGCATAAGCAGGGAGTGGGGTACAAGGTATTGGCAACTAATCGTAAATAAACCGCATCTGCTAAGAAAGCAAAGTGAATTGACCCTCTACTTTTCTAGATGCACCTTTTTAGGCATATAAAAGAAACAACCCCCCCACACCAAAAAAAAAAAAAAGAGAAAGAAAAGAAGAAGATAATAAATACAAAAATAAATAAGAGATAAAAGTAGCCCTTGATTTCTTTTTCTATGTGCACTTTTCAGCCATGGCTTGTTATGTTGACTCAAATAGCTTCCACTCGCAATTCACTAGTTTTAACTTGTGCCCATGTACACATAAAGATCTTAATCATGATAACCCACTTTTTGCCACTGATCAAATAATTTAAAAATCAAAACTTTAGAATCAAAAAGTCCACAAATCATGCTAATAAGTAAAAAGAAAAACACATGCACACCTGCTTGCTGGCTGAGAAAGATTCAGATACAGCGTGCCTTCGAGAGGTTCCAATTCTCCTAGACATGGACCCTTCAAACCTCTGAGACAATTGATGCTGTTGAAGTGCCATAGAGAGTGCCTGAAGATGCAGGTCTTCCTCACTCACCAGCTTCCTCTGTGATCTACCCATTCTCTTGCTTCTCGATCCAACATCTTTAGATTCCTTCTTTGTCATGCAAATAAAACGATTACCCATGTTTCACTCTCTTCACTGTTCGCAGGAACTGGATGGAAATTTCTCAAAGGTTCGGTTTTTCTTCCACTGGTCTCTGATTTTATTTTATTATTTTTGTCTTTTTCTTTTTTTCGTGGTGTTGGAGAGTTGGAGGAGTTGTTAAGTTGTTGGATGTGAATGCGAAAAATAAAGGCAAATATGCGAATGAAACAACTCAAAGTTTTCAAGCCCCAACCGATTTTAGAGCTTATTAAATGCTTTCGATTTCAACGACACCATCCATGGTTTCATAATTTCAAAGCTCTTTCTTATTATTGCTTTCAATTTCAACCTAACTAACAATGATAGTTTTTTTTTTTTTTTTACTTATTTGCCTTTGTGCTTTTCACTTTTTTTACGTTATAAGATAGCACTTGTGTATAGTCAACGTGAGACGTGGAGACAAAATGAACTGAAAATAAGCGCAAAATCTGTAGTCAGTTTTCAACGGGAGTTTGAGTACAACAAATGCCATCTTTTTCTTATTCATTTTTTTTTTTTGGGTACATTTAATTTTATTTAAATTAAAATTGGACTTAAAAAGGTCAAATCCTTCGTCTTGTGTGCTTGTAAAAGTTTGAGGAAACTTCTGAGCGAAATGTACCTTTGAGCTGTTATCAAAATGCTAAAGCCGTATTTGATACATTCAAAAAAGAGTACGAAAACCATATTATTTTTAATTTTTATAGATTTAAAAAATAAATATTTTTATTGTTAATAATAAATATTCTATTATATCAAATAATATTAAATTTAAAAATCATTTTTTTAAAAATTAATAAGTAAATTATTAAAAGTATTATATTTAATAATATTTAATGCAGAAAAAGTTGCGTAAAACGCTCTATGAATATTTTTTTAATACACTCTTAATTTTTGTTAAAATTTATTAAAAATTACAAAAATATAAAAAATTATTAAATTAAAAATAAAAAAATAAAGGTTACATAATTTTTATAAATCTGAATAAATTTAGTCCAATAACTAAAAGAGTAAGTGTCAAAGGGTATTTTATTAACATTTCTCGTACTCATCCAGTATAATAAAGAGATATTCATATGTATAGTATTCTTATTAAGAGAGCTCCAACAATATTCATGTAGATGGAATACAACCTATTAGGCGGACCTCAATTACTGCTTTCATGTTAACGAAGTCTATTAATGTCATTTCTCTTCAACTTTCTTGAATAAAGCACCTTCAGTCGAAAAAGTAGTCACCCACTAAAATATTCTATGTATGGGGCAACAAATCTAGAAAATAATCATAAGCTACGGACTTGGCCCAAGAAAACAGCCAAGCTAAAATAGTAAAGAATTCGCATTTGTCTCCCTCTCTCCTTATGTGCGGTCAAAATGTCGTGTGTTTTTATTATTGTCAAAAGTTGTATTATTTCTCACTATTATAATTCTAACTAGATATATAAAATGTGTTAACTTTAACTAATTTTACTTTAATTCACATGAGCTAAGACTAAAAAGTTTATGAAAGTAAAAAGCTCACAATGTAAAAATTTATATGACTAAAAAGTATAAAATTAACATAACATATGAGCTAACTACTTTTAAAAAATTATTATAATTTATTAACAATATTTATTTTATATAATATTTTTTAATAAAAAATAAAAAATAAAATTTCTTAAAAATAGATAAAAAAATAATAATTAAATTTGTATGATATTAAATATTTAGAATGAATTATTATTATTAAATAATATTAAATAAAACATAATAATTTATTATCAAATTAAGTTGTATATTTATTTGATTTTTACTTGTATTGTTGATGATTTTTTATATTTTAATATATCATATTATTGTTATTATTATTTCTTTATTTATTTTTATAAAATTATTTTAAAAACATCTTCAATAAAAATTTTAAAAGTGATAATTAACACATAAAACTGATAATGTAAAATGACGCTCACTAATTTTGTTAATTCATTTGATGTCAAAATACTCAAAATGATTTATTTAAATGAGATTTAATGTGTTAAAAAAATAAATGCAACATTGTCATGATAAAAATTGTAAAATATAATACTTAATGTTACAAAATTCATGAGTAAAATAAAAATAACTTGTGAACTTAATAAAAATTAATAAATATTTACAAATTGAAATTTTAACTTATCTTTCGAAAAGATAACTATTACTTTTTATTTAATTATCCATTATCTTTTAGAAAAATAATTTATTTTATTTCTTTATTTAAAAGGTCAAACAATATCAATTTCTATTTTTTATATTATGTCTTTATCTTTAAGAATTATTAATTATTTTACTATTGGTATATTCCCTTTTTAAGGTTATTTTTATCCAATTTACTCAAATAAAAAATGTTTATTAAGATTAGGTGACATAGGATTAGAAATATAGGTACATGTGACTCGTATAAGTACAGTGATGATATACTAGATAAGTGAGGTTAAATAGACCAACCAAATAAATGAAATTATAAAATTTATGCATTTATTTATTTAATATAATATAATAAAATACATAAAATTATAAAAATAAAAATTATATATATACTCACATATTGATATAAAATGTTAAATTTAAATACTTATATTACTGAATAATTTTTCATGAAATTCGAAATTGATCGATCCAATGTTAGTTTAAATATTTTTATTAAATATATCAACTTTATAAAATTTTATAAAAAAATAAAAATAATAGATAGTTTATCGCGTCAGATTCTGAGTGAATTTCTGAAAGGAATTTATGGTAGTGAGTTGTTGATTTGCTGCTTCATATACCTTGGCTAAAGCAAAGGCCTTTCGATAGTTTGTGGTTGGAACATTTGAACCATCATCTAAACCTCCTGCTTCATGCCTCCCAAGAAACAGCTAAGAGCATACTCCTCTGATAACTCCAAACGAGTAATGATTGCATCGAACTCTTCATAATATTCTCTTACCGAACCTTTCTATCTAATCCCCATCAACTCAGCCATGGGTCATCGCACATGTCCCCAAATCTTTCAATAATGAATATGGTGTATTCTTTCCAAGATGGAAAAGATTGTAATGCCTTGCCCTCCAAATGAACAATGGCAAGTTTAACCTTGACATCCTCGGGTGTTCCATCAATCAAGAAATAAGTCTCATATTGGTAGATCCACTGATTCACATTTTCCCCATTGAATCTTAGAAAATCAATGCTGCCAAACGTGTACTGTAAGAATACTGTGTGTGGATTCTTTCAATTCTTGGGGGAATCTGCTGCGGTTGAACATGTGCTTTTGAATTTGCTGAAGTCTTGAACAATTCCTGCATAGTGGTCTTCAATGAATCGCCCAAGGACTGTTGCATATTCCCTGCTATTTCCATCAAACGTGCCTCTAACCTGAGCGTGAGTCTATTTTTCCAGTTTCTCCTCCAAATCTTTCATTGCTGCTTGTAAGTGTGTGGATTATGCCAATCGTGGGTGCTGGAAGAACAGGCTGATACCATTTTGTAAGAACTATGTAAGAAAGGGAATCCTATAGAGTAGAAAGAATTCCGATGAATGTATGTTATTATTGAGAACAAGAAGATGATAAGAGTCTGATGTACAATCTCAAAATTATCCCCCAATATTTCTTCGAATTAATTATGACACCGAGACTCCAATGCCTAAAATACCAGAAATAAGTTAACTATTTCTTAATTACATTTATCTTATAACAAGATCATGACTTGTAGTACTTCAATTAAGCCGTATCAATCCACACACCCACCAATATGCTAACCATTAACCACAAATCAGTAACAACCCTCTTGCTGTCCTCTCTCTCTGCCAACTCAACATTCTGCCTATTCCTCCCCTTATTTCTTCCCAGTGCAAACTTTCCAAACCTTGGGCCCGCCCATGTGCCAACTGATGTAGCAGCTGACCTTTTGAACCGATTCATTTTGGGCAGTAACAAAGGTTAATGAACAAACACAGCTTCTTTAAGATACAAAACTAACAATGCCAATTTATGACCACATGTAGTAACAAATTGGTGGCATGTAACATTCATATCCAAAGGTAAGTACAACAAATTACCAACTACATTCTTCGAGACAGTTTCATTCTTAGAAGCTTCTTGGAAGTTGGAAATATTTGTAATTAATGCACTTAGGAAATAGAATGTAACGTATCTCATGATAAAATGCATTTAGTACTCATGGGTATGGAATTGCACTCAACATTAGCCTGCAAATTGTCTCCGCTAAGTCTATTAAGAGTCTATATATGAATGATATGCAGATCCCATGTACTTCATTTCTCTTGAATTAGAAAGCATTTCTATTCTCTAAATAATTTGTATAAAGATTATGTTCTCTCTCCCCCTAAATCCGTCCCTCTAAATTCAACAGGACCCAATGAGATTACTAAATGCCATAGCTAGCCCTCTATTATCTAACAAACCAAAGCTGCTAAATAGCTCATATTGTGATTGACTTATTTCCATATGTTAAACCAGCATGGTCAACCCAAATTTGAGGGTCCAAAAAGCATTCTCATGCCCAGTCTCAGTGTATTGTGTCATTTTAATGAACTTAATGCAACAATTAACAAAGTTAAGATATCATTTATGCAACCTATCCAATTTTTTTATGTTAAACAGCTAGAGATTTTATCATTGTATCCTTTCAACACTTGTGTTCAACTCATCTGAAACAATGCACAGTTCACTGGTCTCTTTATTTTGAATAAAGCTTATTGGTTTTGATAATAATGTGGATACCGCTGAAAACAATAAATAAACTCAGGTAGCATAAGATAAAATAGTCACAATGAGATGGCAGAAATATGAGAAAAAGGTAGTATACTTACCTGAGCCTCAACTGTACAACGAGTCACATGGGGAATCAGGCATTGGCATGGAACGCATGTCCACATGGAAAGACATAAAAGGGAGCCATTTGTCCAACTGATGTATAACCATGACCCATGCCAAACTCCCTGCCAGCGGTTAAAATTTTTCTCCGACAAACCTAGTGTGTCAGATTAAAAGTCAATTCAAATGAGAGCATAAATTCAGAAAACTTAAGGAAGATTGATCTTAATTAATTATGGTACACTAGTACAAAAGTAAACAACTGCACAACTTAAAAGCAGCAGGTGCAGTTGTCTCAGAAAGATCAATACCCCACAATTCTCATCTCGATCAATAACAGTGCATCTTTGAGCAAGTGCACTGATATCAATTCCTGATATTGTCAGCACCACGAGTTGCATCATTCATC